GTTGTATTTCTCATCATTGTTACATCGCACCCTGACTGGCTCATCTCCTCCCCGAGACCCCTCTGCAGATCACATCCTTAAAATTAATCTGGCCTTTGCCTTTTCCCCAAATGTGGTGAAATGATGTTGGTCTCCCAGTGTCTCCATGTGCATATTTCACTGATGACTAATGATGCCGAGGCTACTTTAACAGGTTTATTGATTCCTTGGACTTCCTGGCCTCTTTGTTCCCGTGATGCTCCTGAATTGGGTGGTTGGGTGTAGTTTTTTGGTTTGGCTATTCCTTGTGTTCTAGATTCTACTTGTTTATTAGTGCATGTGTCTTCCTAGTCATTGGGGGAGTCTCTTCAACTTTTAGAGACGTCTTTTGTTGAGTAGAGTTTTCTGCACTCTTTTTTAAAAAAAACCTTTTATTAGGGGCTCATACAACTGTTATTGCAATCCATACACACATCAATTGTGTAAAGCACATTTGTACATCATTCTCAAAACATTTTCTCTCCACTTAAACCCCCGGCACCAGGTCCTCATATTTCCCCTCCCTCCCTCTGCACTCTTAGTTTAATATAGTCTAATATATCCCTTTTTTCTTTCATGACTTGGTGTCTTGGTTTTTTTCCCCTTTATATGAAACGATCATTTTATTGGGGGCTCTTACAACTCATTTTACAATCCATACACCGACTGCATCAGGCCTCTTTGTACGTACGTTGCCATCATTCTTTTCTGGACAGTTACTTTCTATTGAGCCCTTGGTATCAGCTCCTTCCCACCCACCCCCCCATGACCCCTTGATAGATTATAAATTATTATTCTTTTCAGCTGTCTCCCTTCCCCCATGTTTTCTGTTGTTATTCCCTCTGGAGGGGGGTGTTATGTGTCGATCATTGTGATCGGTACCCCTGTCTCCCATCCTCTACCCTCGTTCCCCTTCTGGTATCTATTCCCACTCCTGTTCCTGGATACCGTGTATCCTGAGCTCCCATCTCTTATCTACACCTGTGTACGTGCTCCGGTCTGAATGGAGCAGCAGTACTGGGGTCATGAGAGAGACATTCTCCTATAATGTCCTTCTGAGGGCTTTCAAGCACTGCCTTTCCTGGGCAGGACTCGAATCCCTCTGGAATTGATGTGTGCGTGTCATCATGTGGAGTTCTAATTTCGTCCTTTCCTGTGTTGTTGGTATGTTAACCAAGCTCACCATTTCCCACGAGTGGTTAGGATGCCCCGGGCTGGGCTGAGCTCCAGTCTGCGTGCAGGTTTGTTTCTCGCCCTGTGGTGTGTCAATGCCATACCTCTCTAAGGATCATCACTTTAACGAGGACTTGCTAGTTGGAGAGCAAGTGCTCCCTTCCTTCTAATTTACATGGCTATTCTTGACTTTAAAATTTTTTATATTAATTTTGGTATACTTTTGTTAAACCTGCATGAATTCTACAATTTTGATTCAAAGCAATATGTTTGTTATAGATGAATTTGAAGCCAACTGCTGTTTTAGATATTGGACCTTTTCATTCATAGACTGAGTCTCTCTATAGACATCTTTTTCAGTGCCTTTAATACAGTATTACAATTTTATTTATGAAAGGCTAAAAACATAGTGTATACCTTTCTTGTCATCATAAGTGATCTCTATTAAAATTACATTTTCTAATTGGCAACTGCTATTAGTATATCATTGATTTATGTACATAGCTTATACCTAGCAAAGTGAATAGATTATACATAGCAAATTGCTAAATGATCTTTTAGATCAAATTGCTTGTGTATACATTATCTTGGACTTCTTGCATAGGCAATAATATCCTTAGTGAACGTTTACTTTCTAATTGTCGTCCTTAACTGTGAGTGTGAGTGAGTGTGTGTGTGTGTGTGTGTGTGTTTTACATTTCTGGACTTCTGATACATAGTTAAATGGAAGTAGTGAGAATATCAACTATTTTCAAGGTTAAAGAAATGGCTTCTATCATTCCATGTTACATATAACATCTGCCTTATATTTTCAGAAACCACTTAGGTAAAAGAAAACCTCTGAGTTCTTGTTGCTGCTTCTGTTGTTTGAAACTTGTATGAATGTTGAACTGTATCAAACATTTTTTCTACATCCCTTACTAGAATCATCTTCCTTTAATTTGTTAATATATTGCCTTACACTGATGTCCTTTCAAATTTTAAAGACAGTAAGTAGATCATGTATAATAAACGTATCTATGATAGTAAATATAGTATTTAACTTGAAAATAGTTATTTTCCCAGGATGAATCTCAATGGTACCAGGGAGAGAGAGACACACACACCATCATCCCACCACCCCAGCTCTTAGCTACCCTGTATACGGTTTCTGAGACTATAAGTCTTTACAGGAGCAGACAGCCTCATCTTTCTCCTTGGGAGTGGTGGTGGATTTTGACCCACCAGTCTTGCAATTAGCAGCAGGGTTCTCATATTCATATTCTCTCTCTCCCTCTCTCCCTCCCTCGCTCGCTCCCTCTCTCTCTCTCCCTCCCTTCCCCTACCCCTCCATATGTACCTTAGATTTATTTTGCTCATATAATACGGTGGGCTTTTGATTTATATTGAAAAATATAACTCTTGTAATATCATTTGGTTTTCTTCTTAAGGTGACTTCATTGTAACAAAATGAGCCTTGAGAGTTTTCCTCATTTCCCACTATATGTAATATTTTGTGTAAGATTGAATTATCTGTTTCATATGTTTACTAAAAATTACCTATAAAGTTATCGATGATTGATGGGATTTTGTGTATGTAGCTAGATTTCAACTACTAGTTTCTTCAATGATTTGAATTACTCTTTCTTTTTGAAATGGCTTTAGCGATGATGTTTCTAGAAAGTTGCTCATTTCCATCTGTTTTCAAGTTTATTGGGGAGCATGTGTTAAATACATTCTATTTTAGTTTAAAACAGGGGTCTCAACCTTCCTAATGCCAGGACCCTTTAATACAGTTCCTCATGTGGTGGTGACCCCCAACCATAACATTATTTCCTTTGCTACTTCATCATTGCCATTTTGCTACCGTTATGAATTGAGCGACCCCTGTGAAAGGGTCGTTTGACTCCCAAAGGGGCCGCAACCCACAGGGTGAGAACTGCTGGTTAAAAAGATGCTACTGTAGTTGTACTTTGTTCCTGTTTAAATTCATGATGGTCCTCATGGATTCCCTGTCCCTCCCTTTCCCCTGCTCTCTCGTGCTCCCCCACCTCTCAGTCCTCACACTGACAGAGATGTGTTTCTCCTTCTTGTCCTTTAAGAAGGCATCATTGTTTCCATGGTCTAAGCTTCTTTGTTGTTGTACCTTTCACATACCGTTTTATTTGGTCAGCTTCTTGTCTGTATGATTGTCATGTGTCTGGGGGAGGGGTCACTCTTTTTTATTTACTAACTTTTTGGATATGATATTTTTGTTTGTGCCTGCAGCTGCCTATGTGCGTGCTCGTCTATCCCCATCAATCTAATATAAAGGGTTTTCATTGTTGTTCACCTCTCACATTTTCCTATTATCATCATTTATTTTTGAAAATAGTGATTCAGAATCTCCTAACTTTAAAAAAAAATCATTTTATTATTGATATCTAAAGCGCCATTGCATTCTGCTTAATAGATCCTTTTGATTTGGTGGAGACTCACTGTGTTTTTTGTGTCCCTGTGTGTGTTTAAAGAAGTTACATTCTGTAGTGGCTAGTCCGGGGTTCAGTATGTATCCACTGGAGCAAATCTTCCTATTTACTGTTGATGTCAAGCTACTTAATATGCCAGCTCCTCACCAGCATTATGGTTGGTTGGTTGAACATCTTCATGTCATGCAGTTCATGTTGCATTTTACATTTTTGAGGATGCACTGCCATGTATCTTGTAGCCTGATCATACATGCAAACATGTTCACTGTGCCAGTGGAGCAGCCCTCTTTGTCCTTGGAATTGGCCCTGGGGCTCTCCCTTGGCTTTGTTTGTTGAGAGAGCGGGAACCATGGCTCTGCTCTCTGAGGATGTGTTGCCGCCTCTGAGTTGATTCTAGTTCACGGTGACGACTGCCGGAACTCAAATACCTGTTCCGATCCCTGCCTCGCAGTCTGGGGGGTAAGCTCCCAGGACCGGAATTGCTCAGCCATGTGGTCGTTCTACGTTTCCAAGGGCTGTTTTTGTT